TAACTAATAGTTGCTTGCATGCAGCTATCAGGCTCTATAGCACTTTCTTTGTAAGCTGTGTGTCAGATCTTGCTTTTGTCTGCATCGCTTGCTGTTTTTTAAATGTTTCTTGATTTGAAGACAGTATGAAATTAATTACTGTTTTTCCAGCGTGTAATCTTCAAAAGTGAACTAAGCAAAGCAGTTAGTCACCTAGGAAATATATGTGAAGAAGGATGTTGCTGGAATTATATACGTGTATATCTTCCAAGTACTTTGCCCTTTTAGAAGTTCTAAATATAACTGAAACAACTCTGTTGGCTAGGTAAAATTGTTAGTGATTTAAGCTTTCCCACTTGCAAGATGATAGGAAAAGAACTAAGGAGTACATTCAATAACAAGAGATTAATTCGCATTTTATTGCATAAATTCAGATAAACTGGACTCAAATGTTGCCCAAAGTATTCTATGGACAGTTAATATTGTGGATTATTTTCCTGTCATTAAATCTTGGATAATTGTGAGACATCCAAGAGAGGAGGAAGAAGAATGCACCATAATTAGAAGGCCTGCAAGGAGACCCAACTAATTACAGGCCTGTGATGTGAATAATGTAACAGTTAACACAGAACTGAAGAGGTGGCTGGTGTTACTGGTCAGTATAGGCTTGTGAAACGTAGGTTTGTACAGTTGATGTTTTTATTAAGATGATGGTGTCTGGTAAGTGGTTGATCTGAGCTTCTCATTCAGGGTCACACTGTGGCACGGTCTGAGGAAGTGAGCAATGCGATGTAACAGGGCATGGTACCGACATTCACCATCAGGTCTTGGAGGGTGATTGTAAATGGGTGATTCACTGCTCAGTCAAGTTCACATAGTGCATCTCTGACCCTGTGCTTCCTCCCATGACTGGTGATGTGGAATAAAATGTAAGACTCGTACTGATGCAGATGGCCCATGATGGGGAGTGTTAAGTAATGAAAAGGACTCGTTAATAGCACGTGATCTAGGTGGTTTGAGAAATAACCATGCGTTCTTCATACGACTGAATACAAAGTTAACCACCCACATCCTCTGATTCCAAATGTTTTTTATGGACTACACCAGCTCGCTATCGGTGGAAGTATTGGCACTGTAAAAACACTGTCTCAGTGGGGAGTCAGTTGAACATAAGTTGCCAGTAACATCTTACAGTCAAAAGGACTAATCATAGAATGGCCTAGGCTGGAAGGGACCTTAGAGATCGTTTTAATCCAGCCTCCCTGTCACCAGGAACGCCACCTATCAATGCAGCTGTACAGTGGAATTGCTCAAAGTCTGGTATCCGCAGTTCAGGGGAAATTTAGGTTCTGAAGATACAGAAGCTGCTAAATATCTTTTGAGACAGGGAAGACTCAACGGTTAAATAATGATATCTTGATCGGTCTCTAAAGATCCTTGCAGAAACAGCATTATGATGATGAGCTTTAGCCGGTAGGCAAATTTGTAGTAAAATGAAGTAGCTGAAAGCTGAAGTTGGGTAAATCCAATCCAGAGAAACAGTGCACATGTCTTACCGTGTGTGGTCTGTTGTAGATTATCTATTTTGGGTAAATGTTTAAATAAAAAGCTGCGTGGCTTTCTGAAAAGATTATTTGATGCAGATAAGAGTTAAGTCTATGGCCTATGTCTCTCAGAAAGGCTGCTGCTGATCACTTCATACGATCCAAATTCAAGGTTCATGCATCAGAAGGTATGAAATGCCTCACGTAATTGCAGCTAAGTTGGATATACTGCCAAAAGAATTTGTGTTTTCAATAAAATGCTGAGCAGCCAGTGTTTTGGGGAAGATTTTAATGTGTATGGTAGGGGTATAGTATTCATACTACCGTCTGATATTAATTTTTTTCCAAATAATGTAGACAAATTTTGGAAATCTTTGGGAATCCAGCTAATAGTTTGAGGATGTAATAGAATAAGGAATAAATTAAAGAGAAATATTTTGTTACCTTGTTCCTTTGAGATACTTGATTGCTTCAGAGAATCCAGTTATTGGAAAATAGTGTACTTTATTCAAAAGCCTAAACAAAATAATTGGATTTGGAGTGGCTGAATATAGGCAGATAACTATCGTTTTTGACTTGACACTTTTTCTCCAGACAAGTGAAAGTCTATGTGAAAAATGCAGCGTGAGGGAGAAAAATGCTTTTGGACATGTAAGTTAGATAATTAAAACTTGAACAGAACTACTTTGTTAAAAGGTTTGAATGCTGCAGTATTATTTGTCTTGCACTTTCAAATATGCTTCATTATCATAAAGAAAAAATACTTCGGATTTGAAAAGCGTAATGGTGAAATAAGAACTTTATAATCTCAACGAGAGAGTAATATTTAAGATAGATGCTTAGCTTGTCACTCCTTGGTGCTTTGCAGTGTTTAATCCTTCAGCCTTAACATTCTTAAAATAGCTTAGACAATTTTCTAGACTCATAGAAAACATAATCTGGGACCGTGAGCCATCCTGCTGTGTGTGAGGCTTGTGTGGCAGTAAGGCAAGCCACGGGACCGGCACTCCTTGCTCTGCTGCTTGGTGGAGAGAAAGGACGTGTGGCGTAAGTGTCTGTCAGGGTGTATGTATTAAAGTTACGCGCGTTAGCCTTATGGTTTTTTTCTCTAGTTTGGCAAGTGTCCAATTTATGAAACCTCTGGCGAGTTGTGCTATTGTTTTCTCTGCTCCTCTTTCTTTCTTGGTCTCAAATAGGCAATGTAATGGAAAACTTGGAAGCGAGAGATTTAGAAAAAAAGGACCAAAAATATAATGCAAATGATCCCTAGTATAAACCTAAAGATCCAGACAGGATGAAACTGTGTGATGTTAAAGCTGACCGTAATTCTTAATAGAGTCTTGCTTGTCCGAGCTATTACAAAATTGTTTGAGATGCATTTTATTGAAGTACGTGAATAAAACGGAAGAGCAATTTAGGAACCATATGCTGACTAAACGGTGGCAAAGTTCAAGAAAATGATCTTTAATATTTTTATTATTAAGTATTGCTGTTCTGTATTTTCTGAATTTTTCATTGGTTCTTAGCTTCTGATGTGGTTTCTGTATAGTGCTGTAGTTCTTATTGTTCAAAGACTTTGATTCTAATTCTGTTCTACTGTTTTCTCTTGAGTTGTGGTGGAAAAAAATGTAGTTTAAATTTACCTCTTTCCTAATATTTTTCTTGGATTTGTTTTTCTAAATCCCATTTGGTAGTTCCTTGTTTGTTCATTCTATTTAGATAGTATTAGATTCGAAGTCCTGCCTGCCCTACTGCATTAATAAACAAAATGTGGCTGTGCTGTGATTCTGTTGTCATGACACTTTAACTTCTTGAATATTTGAAAATCTTTGACTTGTTCGAAAAAATTTCAGTAGGTGATGAGTTACTGTGTAAATGCTGAGAAATTATTTTTCCCCTGACATTTCTTATGTGTGCAGGGAGGATGCATTCGACGGGTTGTGAATGGAAGTGCCACTTGTCTCAGCATTTTGTAATTATATAGAGCATCTCCAGAAGGGTCCTTCTCTTATCTCTGGAATGATAGCAGAATGTGTAATCACTTTTGTACCGCAGGACAGGTTTTATTTGTCTCTGTGTAAATTGGAATTTTGTAGTTGGACATTTTATAGCATGGGGTAAACCTACAGAATTGTACGACGAGAAAATAATTAGGCCTGCTTTCACAATGGGCTCAGATCACGGTCTATGGATTACCATGCATCCGCTTTAACTGCAAACATGCCTGCTCTTCATTGCAACCTGGTGTTGGCAGATCAAGATTTCTTCATCTAAATTTTATTGGCAGCAGGTTGTAAAGCCCTGGAAGAAGCTGAGATGGACTGGAAAGAGATGTCCTGGGGCTGCACTCGGTGGTGGCAAAAAAAATGTCCGAGAAAAACAGTCTTCCATGGCTTATTTGGAGGGAAGAAAAGGCTTATGAGATTGATGCTTATTCTACCCCTGGGGCATGGGGTGTGAGCAGAGGTTTTCCTTCCATGTCTAAAGAGCTGACTCTTCAGTCCAGAATGCCAATGCTCTCCTGCCTTTATTTTCTTACTTTTCTCTTATTTTTCTTACTGGCTTCCTTCCTGCTCAACAATCCCTGTTATTCCTTCAGCCCTCATCATATTTTAATTTCCACTGTACTGCTTATGACATCTTGGTTTTTATTTTTTTACTTGCTTTTAAACTGTTCCTGCAGTGTATTGTGCTCCTTAAAACAGCCTACAGACATTCTAAAAAGCAATGTTTAAAAAAAAGCTGTAGTGCAATGCTTACTTATCCTCCCCGAAGAAAAAAAACTTAAAAAATTTCATCCTGATGTGTATTAATTTGCTTTGTGGCTTTTTGTGCTGAGTGGACTTGTCTTGTCAAGCATTTGATGACCTATTGATGTGAAGATGCCCTACGTCAGGACTTGGTGAACTGATTTCTGACCAGTGAAATATACTGATCAGTATAATTATACAGTAATGTGTAGATCATCACAAAGCATAATACATTTTTCCTGGCTTAGAGTTGCTGGAAAAGGGATGTTTATAGTTAAAAAAATGGAGGCTGAGCTGCCTTGTTCTCCAAAGACTATTGCTGTACCTGCTTTTGAACTCAGCGAAAGGTGAATTCGTTTTAAGCATTAATCCGGGCACAGGAACAAATCAACCATCCCCTGAAACTTGCATGGATTTGTCTGTCTTGGATGATCACGTGCGCTAATGAGAGACGTGACAAGAGAAAGTTAGCGAAAACCTTTTCAGATGTGGTGTTTGTGTGCTGAAACCCGACAAGCTGGCAGGACTAGAAATAGCTTCGCAGATGGTACTTGGCACGGCAGCGAGCGGCTCCGCTCTCCTCTCGCACGCTCCCCACCCTGCCTGTCACTCGCCGCGCCCAATGGCTGCCGCGCCCTGGAGAGACGGCAAGTACGGATGGAGCTCGCAGGAGGCTGCGAGGTCAGACGTCAGTGTTGCACCACGCATGGCTGAGTCAGTGACTGCGAGAAATGGAATTGAATTAATATCTGGAGGGGGTTGCGTCTGTGAGCACTTAATGGACTGTAGAGCTACAACCTCTTATCCTTGAGGGGAAGGTGACGGAGGGAAAAGTGAGGCTCGATGACGGTGCGGCGAACTACCGAAGAAAAGATGGAAATATCAAATATGCTACACTTAACAAGTAATGCCAAAGGATGCTGATCTGGCTTTCAAAGCTGCCTTCTTGGAAGGAACAGAATTCCTTTGTGCTCTGATTTCGAAATTATTTCCCTGCTTTTGTGTTTCCTCCCTGATAGATACAAGAGGAAGGTGCGTATCTGTTAACAAGGATAATCTGTGGGCATTATTCAGGAGGAGAATGAGGAAAAGAAAAAGTGCTGTCCTTTGTGTGCACTGGTCAATTGAAATGACTGCTGACAAAGAACAGGCTTCAGGGGGAGGAAGAGGGGCATAAGCGTTGTCATTGTGTAAGTCCTAGCCATAGGAGCAGAACAGGATTCTTTTATTCTAAAGCCTTATAGCGTTGTATCTGTAACTTATTCTGCAAGTGCTGATTATGTGAATCATCCTAGGAAAGGGTTGGATCTAAGTTTATGTTTTAACAAGAGTTACTTAATGTAAGTTTTAGAAGATAAAGGAATAAAAAAGATAGAAGTTTTGGTTAATAGTTCAGTACTGCATCCTTTTCTTTTAGATAAGGTTCTAGGGTGGTTTTGTGGGGGTAATAAGTATATTGGTTTAGTTCCATTATTCTGCGTAGACCAGAACCAGTTGTATAAAAGAAGTGTATTTATTGGCAATATTCAGTAGGATGCACATAAAGTTTTTGTATTGGAATACATGCTAATTGTTTTGGCAGTAGTTTTAGTTTAATGACTTCATTTAATCATTAGTAATATATTCAGAGCAATATGTTGTTATGTATAAAGACAAGCTGAAGCTCCTTTCAGAGATGACTCCTAAGTATCATTAAACTGAAAAGCATTTACATTTTTTTAAAAACAGCTCTTCCCTTACTGCAAAAATAGGAAGCATACCAGTATGACATGTGCCATTTTGATGGTACTCTTACTCCTCCTTTACTTCATATTAATAGTTTTGTTTAAATAAAGCCTTGAGCTTATTTGATTCTTTTTGTAAGGCAACTGCATTTAAGGAAAATGCCTCTTCCCTTTAAAAAGGGAGAGAGCTTCCTTGATTCCTGACTGAGGGGGAAAATAAATTCTGTCACTGACTTCAAGTTCTTGAACAGGTTTAGTGCTAGTGTCCCGATGTTCTTTTGGAGACGGGAAAAACTGTATATTGAATTTGTGAAGATTGTCTAAATGTGCTGATATTCAAAGGCTTGGTGTTTTGTTTTGCTTATAGGCTGATGTTGTGCCTCAGTCATTGTCCAGAGCTTCCAGAGCACAGTGTGCAGCTCATGGTCATTGGCTGGGAAATTAACTGAAAGTTGACATTGCAAATACTTTTCAGAGGTAGCGATCTGAAACTTGCTTGGAGGCTTGAAGTAATGCACTGTGCAGAGCACCATGGACTCTTTTAGGCTGAAATTGCAGATTAATACACTATTGCAGCCAGGTGCTGCATGAGACCAGGAGCTCCCTGGCACGTTTAATTCTTGGTGGTTCACTGCTAGTTGAGACATACTAGTGCCTTATCTGGACTGCAAGTTGCTTCTGTGAACTGCGATAGTTCCTAACAGTTTGCCTGCTCTTGAAAATGGAGAAGCTCTGATTTTGTGAGTCACTTTTCATCAACGTAGGTAAGGAGCTGTGTCAATGCAACTGCGGAATTCCCTTGTGAATGTGGGTCTGGCTTACCTGTGTCTCTGGGGACAGGTTTGTAAGATTGCTGGTATGGAGCAAAGGGTTTCTGCATTTCCCTGCAGAAACAACCTCCTGTACCCAATGGCTTTCTTAGAGAGCGGGAAAAAATTCTATTGTTAACAAGTCTTTCTATCTAAAAAAAATAAAATAATAATCAGAATTATTTGATAGTTCTGATGTCTTTGGTTGTTTTTGAGCACTTACAATTTCTTCTAAAGCCTCTTTACAGGAAAATATAAGCCACAAGTTTTCTTTCATACATACTGGCCACAGATGTAGCTCCTTTTTCAGAGTGATGAAGTAGCTCAGTGACAGTTTTCCTAGTTGGATATTGCAGGGTAAAGCCAGTGACTGTCTCTTCTGACGTGCTAGATTCCACCTCTTCATTTTCTCTTTCCTCAGATTTAAACTCATTTTAGTCATCTTATTTATTGTAGAGCAATGTTATATATCAGAGGTGGTATTTATCTGAGTACACATGCTGTCGAACAAATGGAACTGCAGATTTTGTCAGGTATATATCCGACAGATCAAAGAAATTACTTCTTTTTTTGTGTATTGTGACTCAACCATAATGAGATTTAAGGTTGATGTTTTAGATGGGTATTATTAAGATGAGTGAAAATTCATGGTTCTCAAGCCAAACTGCCTGAAGTCTCAGAAATCTTCCAATGTTGGCTTACATCTTCTGGCTAATAGGTACTGCGCCAGTCTCACGGTTAGCACTGAACTGTACAGTAAAGGGAGGAAAGTAAAACGTAGAAGCGAGCAAATGAGTGGTTTGGCCAGCTGCAATTTGAACAGCTCTTTGAAATTATTTACCAGTCTCTCTGTTTCAGAAACAGGTGATTTGAATATTTAGGGGTCTTGTAGTCCTCTAGCTGGCAGCCTCTGCCTCTCTGGCAGTGTGGCGTGCTGAATCGATGGCTCCTGTGTCCCTGGTCCCTGCTCCGTGGGGCCGGCCGGCCGCGGCTGGCGGGAGGAGGCCCCGTCATGTGCGCGCTGCCCCTCTGCTGCCAGGCTTGCTGGCTCTGCGTGCCGAGGCCAAAGGAACCCACATTGCGATCCTGGGGAGGCCTGGCTGGAACGTCGAATCATGGAGGTTGGAAAGGACCCTGAGATCATCAAGTCCAACCTACAGCCCTACACCACCCTAACACTGCCCATCTGCAGTGCCGCATCCAGCCGGTTTTTAAACACGTCCAGGGATGGTGAGTCCACCACCTCCCTCGGCAGCAGCTGTGCTGGCGTGGTTGGACCTTCATTCAGGCGTGACTAAGGAGGACGAGTGATGCGGCTGAGTCAGTGCCACTTCCCGTAGCACCTGTTTTTCCCAGCTCCTGCGAGGACATTATTAACTGGGGTTCACCCGACTTCACTGTGAACTGAATCACTACTTAAAGGGTAACGTGACTTCAGATGGTTTTCTGGATTAAGAATCACATTTTAATTGCCTTCCCTGTTAAAGGGCAATTGATGTCTGCTCTGCCAAAATGTGTGAGAAGCCTGTATATCTTCACAGTGGCTCAGTTTTATTTTCTAGTGTTTTTCACTTATTTAAAGCATCTAGAGTGCTTCAGGTGTTGAGAGATAGTGAGTCGTACATTTTGATACTAGAAAATGTGGCATCTGCAAAACTTTTCTCACAGCATGGTTAGAAATGTTATCAGGGCTAGGATCAAAATGCTGCTTGAACAAAGGCCTGACCACATGGGGCTTTATTCGGATTTGCCGAGATATTTTGTAACAGTACTGCAATGTATGTGCTTGGATACTGCACATACGTGCCCCCCACGCCATCCTCCTTTGGGATAGTTGGTTATACCATGATGTACAAATATAAATGCCTATGAGATAGCAGTTCTTTTTTGGTTGTTGTTGGGTTCTGCTGGGTTTTTGTGTTTTGGTTTTTAAAGTTTGACCATTTGTGGGCAAGTTTAGCTCTAGTAGTAATTAATATCATGTGTAATCAGAGGTCAGACTTTGGTTTCTAGTTAGATTTTAATTATAGGCTGTAATCCACACTTCTGATAGTTTGTGGGGATGGTTTGTACCTATTAAAATGGATATATTTTGTATGCATATATGTATAGGGAAGAAAAGGTGCACAGATTTTCCTGAGTTGTTGATGTTTTTGAAGGGGAGGATTGCAGTTCTCACTCTTGCAAACTTTTGCACATTTCACTTTCATAATACTGAATTTACCTTTCCCTGATAGCGAAGTAAAACAAGGAAGGAGATACGTTAGTCATGCTGAAATGCTGTATATATCTTAATATGTTCCAAAGTGCATTGTAAGTCCTGAGGAAAATTCTGTTTCCGTTTAATGAAAGTGGTTGGATCATCTTTATTCTTGGACTGAACATTTCCAGCCATGAGCAAGGCTTGCAGTTCTTTTACCTTATTCAATAGACCTTTGGCTGACTTCACATCCCAAAGATGCATGTCTTCTTGCAGCATATTTTAAACTTGGCAAGAAACAGTATTGCAGTAGATTCTCTCTGCACCAGACTTCAGCTGTATCGGATACAAGATCCTTCCCTTATTCAAAAGGTGTGGGCAGAAGCTTGTGCTCTTTAGCTGAGAGAGATATTTCTCATTCTTTGCACTGTGCTAATATTAATTTTGTGCTGGTGTAGAGTGCATAAGATCTATCATAGTCTTCTTGTTCCAGTTTGAGCTCTGCTTCTTATCAGTCACTGAAACCTGAAACATGTCATGCTAAATGTTCACTTTTTTGAGCAGTCTTGATTTATTTTTTTGTGTTATTCTAAACAACTTAAAAAGACGTTCTGTTCAACTTGTTTGTACAGTTCATGCTTTTCTTAGCTAGGTCATTAGTCTCACCTCTTCGTGTTCTTGAATCCTGCAGCATTCCTAGCAGTCACATTTAAAGTCTCTTGGTAAGTGTCGTGAGATTTGCAGGCTGCCAGCAAGTGGGGGCATCGAGGCTCCTGTGGGAAATTATGACCCTTCTTTGTCTGTCAGACCTTGTAGTTGTGCAGATGTCTTTCTTGGTTATCTAGTACCTGAGGCTTTCTGAAAATTCTGTGGTTAAACCCGTAAATAAGGAGTGTTGTCGTGTCCACATTTGAAAGGCAAATAGCAAAGGACCTGATCTAGGAATTCCAGAGTGGTCCAGCGACAGAGTGGTGTCCTGATATAAAAATTTCTGTTTTCATGAGCATAAATAAAAGGAGCAAGTATTTTTGGTAAAATTCAAAAATAGCCGTTGGAAGTTGATACTTAATTTTAAGGTAGCTTCCGAGAGTACTGGATCTTGAAACTGACTGCTTTTTTTGGTACGTTTAATAATTAATTGCAAAATGTAATAATTATCTGAATGTTAGAAATGTAATATAATTTAATCACAGTCTAAAAAAATCTTCAACTGTTATATCAAAATTTGCTCGTTGAGAACAAATATGCTACTTGTTACTGACGGTGCTGTAGATTTTGGCTTTATTAATATAGTTGGTATGTTTGCTTTCTGGATTGTGGTGGCTTACTGTGTTTCATTCTAAGGGCAACTGAAAAGATAAAAAAGAGTGCACAGAAAGAAACCCTTGGCTTCTGTGTTTTAATGTATCAACTACTTCAAGGCTGACCACCTTTGTAAAGGGCAAGTTTCAAGAAAAGTGAAGTTAGTACTGAAAGCCTGTGTTCTGAGAAAGGTTTTCCAAAACAGGTTTCAGTGGAAGAAACGACCCCTGACTTGTTCAGTTTCATGGTTTGATTAGAATATTAAATTTAACAGCAAGAAGAAAAAGAAAATGCTCAGTTACATTTGACTTGCCTGTTCTGGAAGGGATTTTTGCAAATACAGGTTCTCAGGCAGTCTCAGCTGATCAGACAGCGTCTCTCTAGTTCACAGGAATAAACAGGTAACTCTTGTTGTCTACTTAATCTTCCAAATCACGGTTCAGATTTGTTAATATAAGCATAAGTATAGCAAAGAAAATGGAGGTGTATGATACTAATCTTCAAAACATGTCCATGGAGTGTGAATGCCTTTGAAATTTAAATGTGTATTGTTTCTGAAATTTTGAAATACTGAACGTTTCTCTTATTTCTGCTTTCAGCACCTCATCTCGTATTGCTAAAGGAATAGACTACACAAAAATGAGCCTCCATGGTGCAAGTGGTGGACATGAGAGATCAAGGGACAGACGCAGGTCAAGTGACAGATCTCGTGACTCATCCCACGAAAGAGCAGAATCTCAGCTCACTCCGTGCATCAGGAATGTTACTTCACCAACAAGACAGTACCATTCTGGTGTGTTCAGATCTATAGCACATCAGGGTTAAAATTCTGAAACTTAGTAACTATTTCATTAAAACACTGTAATAATAAAGCATTATTTGTTGATGACACAACATACAGATTTCTTGCTCCCTGGGCTGGGAGTATCGCAGTGTGTATTCCTACATGATGCTCTTACTTAGTTCAAATCCCAAGAACAATCTAATTTTTCTAAGGTAGTTGACTAAACACCTTTACTTGGTAGGGTTTAGGTATTTAGAAACATAGGAAATGCTTATCTCTTTGTTTGTTTTTTAACTCAACTGTGTGGAGTTGCTTTTTCAATACAAGAATGCTAAACTTTTCTTGTAAAGGCTTTGGGGACATGAGGTGTCTTTGATGTCTAAGTGGTAAAAACTTAAGGATCTCATAGATGAACAGTAATTTTTGAAGATTTCTTTAACTAGAGTAGGTGTAATTGAACAACTTCGTACTTAAGTTCTCAAGTTGCCATGGTTTGACCCTGGAAAGACAACAAACTGCATAAAGCTCATGTATCTATAATTTAATTTCCTGTTTTTTTCTCCTTCCACCTTGGCCCCACTGAAGATCGAGAAAAGGATCACAGTTCCTCTCGACCAAGCAGCCCTCGTCCTCAGAAGACTTCCCCTAACGGTTCTGTGGTTAGCATGGGCAACAGCAGCAGAAACAGTAGCCAGTCAAGTTCAGATGGGAGCTGCAAGGCTGGTGGGGAAATGGTATTTGTATATGAAAATGGAAAAGAGGGAGCTCGGAATGTACGAACTTCTGAACGAGTGACACTCATAGTGGATAACACCAGATTTGTCGTAGATCCTTCAATCTTTACGGCACAACCTAATACCATGTTGGGCAGGTTTGTATCTTTTTGTTGTTGGTGGTGGTTTTTGCCTTAATCTCTAGCTGTGGGAGATAGCCATGAAGGGTTTGTAGGTAGTCAAACTGTTTAAATGAGTTGTTGAGCTGGTGTTGCTACAGCTGATCGGTTAATGTAATTTTATCAGCTTGCAAAGATCTTTAAGTAAGAATCAAATATAAGTTCTTCTCTCTATTTCGCAGGGGGGTCATAGATGTCTGTTACCTAGAGATGAAAGAGTTCATGAGTAAATTGTTTCATAACGTATTCATTTCCTTCTCTCTTGCTGGGCATTGTTTCTATGTTCAATCTGCATCCTTCTATCTCTTGTTTTTAAGGCTAGTTGCTTTGTAAAACAAAGTAGTCAGTATACAGTCACTTTCAAAATAACAAGAAGGAAAACCTTGAAGAAGTTTATTTTGCTTAATGGGCCTACCTTGACAACACTCCAGCTCAGCACATTTATCTTCAGAACTGCTTTTTGGACAGGGGAATGTCAAATAGTGAATTTAACAGATCAGGGCCTTTCAGCAAAGATACCTGACATACAAAATGGTCCATAGTTGAATGAAAGTCCACAATGTATGTGTAATATTTTCTGTAGAAACTGTAATGAGCAACATATTTAACATGTTTACTTGGAGAAAGGTTCTATACTTTAGTTGCTCAACTACTGACTGGCTTTGCATTGTCCAAATTTAGAGAGCACTGCTTACAAACATGCTTTGAAATTAAAGTTTCTCTGTAGCATTGGATTTGGCTCTTCCATTAAAATGTGACTGTTTCTCAGCCCATAAGGTTATAATCATATTTAAAATACATATATATATATATAAAGCTGTCTGCCAAGGTACAGGTAATAAATATGATTAAACAATCTTTGCTTTGTTTAAAGCACCACTGTGTGGGATAAATAGTGCCTTGGTTCCCTATTTTCTGAAAAGTTGGGGCAAAATCAAAGACAAAACAAAATGCTTCTCTGTGTAAACTGTAAAGGGAAATAAATAGAAGTAATAATAGATGTAAGGCAGTTGTATATCTATATATGTAATACATGCATATGTTTAAATACCCAGACTAACAACTGGGAGTGTACCGGTGTGAAGTTCTGTGGTGAAATAGTTTCCTTTCCCATGCCTAGCTTTACTGTATTGCTAGCTAATGCTCTAGATTTTTTTTCTGTGCCTTGCTGAGTTATTCTCCCTTTGGGATTGGCTCAAGGAACAAGCTTATTTTATCTTCAGCTAATTCCAAAGTAGGTTAATAAAGATATGGAAATACTGCTCTAAAATGCAAGTTATTTATAAACCCACTTTCTCCCAATGTCAGTTCAAAGGACGTTAAACAGGAACAGCTTAGCTACGGTGTTCTGGGAGGGAAAAGTAACTATAGTAAGAACGTATTATTTGCCTTAAGCCCATATCCTGTTAGACTGCTGTTTTCCTAAATATTATTACTTGTCTTGAAGAGTGGCCAGAAAACATGTCATGTTAAGCGAAAGAAGTTACTTTGTTCTCCATTAGAAATTCACACAGTCCACCGCTCTCTTTCTTTGGGTTGTGTGTGTGAAAGCAAAGCTTTGCTATAAGGGCATGTTTGTAAATAAGACAAAGAGTAGATGGCAGTATTTCCTGTAAGTGTAGGGTGTAATTCTGCATCAGAGGTGTGTTTCAAAGTCAGATACTTTTGGGACTTGAAATAATCTCCTTAGTCTAACATTCTTTGCATCCTAGTGGGGAGAAATATGCTGTACATGGTACTCTTAATTATGGATATCGTATATTAGGATGTTACTTTAACTTGAATTAACTGGATCTTTGCAATGAAATGGAGATGAGTTGAATGTGCTTCAACAGTAAGTTCTGTTTTTTAAACTACCTCAAATGTCTTTAATGAGAATTCACAGGAAAACCTGTGGTTCTGCTACATTACCCCACAAATGCCAAGGAAGACTTGTTTCAGGTTCCCTCGCCTTTGATACTGGCAGGAAATGACCTAGTCTGATTTTTGGTGTGATCAAAGGATATTGCTAAGATAGGAGAATAAAACTAGACTTTCCTGAGATGCGCTGTCTTGCTTTCTACTTTCTAGTAGTCTTGCTAAGCATGAACCAAACTGAATGAAATATGTACAACCAAGATAAATAGATAGTTTTTCCTTGCCATTTCAGCACAATTTTTGACATTTTACTTTTCAGATTTACAAAAAAAAAAAAAGTCATAGTAAGGAATTTTAACCAAATTACTCTTACTCTTGAGCAGGATGTTTGGATCAGGCAGAGAACATAACTTTACACGGCCTAATGAAAAAGGAGAGTATGAAGTTGCTGAAGGAATTGGTTCCACTGTGTTCCGTGCTATTCTGGTGAGTTTTCAGGGGCAGGTACTGTTAGGATATGAGTATTAATACACTATGAGTATTAAGAGGCATAATTTCTTAATTTAGTCTGAACTTTGTGGATAGAATAAATACTCTTCTTCTGTTTTCTGTAGAGGGGAAGAAACGCTTAATATGAAAACACCCCTAGGTTTTCTAGACATGTATATGTTAGAGCCAGGAAAGAGAAATCATGTATGAATTGAACCAAAAAAACTACTGCCTGCCCAGAAGTCTGTTCACCACCACCTATGCGTCTAGTTCAGTTATCCTCAGCCCTTCTTGTGCTGAAATTAGACAAAACAGAGTACTGGAAGTTAATTTACTGCAGGTAACAGGAGAAAAGCAAACTTCAGTCTGAGAAAGAAATGGCTCCCTTACACAAAACAGGAGGGCTGCCATACGGCTTTGTCAGCAGAATTGGAGTAGCAAAAGCTGAGTGAAGTATAGATAAAAGATAGTATACATGCACCAAAATGTTCAGTATTAACAGTTGTCACTTAAATAACAGTTTTAAGCAGAGGTCACTGCTCTAAAAGCAGTTCTGAAATTTGATAAATTTAAGGACGATGAAATTCACAAAATTTTAACACAAGTTGCTCTCTTATGTTTTAGGGGCTTGCTTGCAGTGAAAGCATCATAAAGGGAAGGATGAAATGTTTCTGTCAGGGATTGTTGAATTTCATTGTGTTTTTTCTTTGTTGTGTTACTGTAGGATTACTATAAGACTGGAGTGATACGCTGTCCTGATGGGATATCTATTCCTGAATTGAGAGAAGCATGTGACTATCTCTGTATCTCCTTTGAGTATAGTACTATTAAATGCAGAGATCTCAGTAAGTACAGAATTTCTTAAAATAATTTGAATTATACAGACTAATTTAAGCAAATATCTGGAGGGGGATGTTAATTCCAGATTGCATCCTTTATTGAGGTAAGGCTGATGTTACATGAGCAAAATCCATCTTTTTTTCTCTCTTACGTAATAAAGCCCAAAAGACAATGGATGCACCACATCTTTTGAAAACTGGCATCCAGTATTTAGATATTTTTTGCCTGTGGTCAGCTCTGTGGAATACTTAAACTCTAAACTCTATCAATGCATTTGCAGTACAGATACAGTAGCATTAACTGGTATCTTCCTTGCAGAGGACAGGGAGGATAATTTATTCAACTCCTTGCTTAAGAGACTTAGGCTGCGTTGCTAGGGAAAGTTGCGCGGCTTTGCTGGCGGTGTAGGGTGCCTCGTGGTTCCCAGCGCGCGACGACTCTTCGGCTCATTCCTTGCCTGCACGCAGCCCAAGTTTTGGCCAACATGTCAATGACCCGGCCTGTGCCTTTGGTTTTGGGGAGCTCCGGGCATTTGCGCAGGCACTGGGCCAGGTCGTGGCGTTCCAGCCGCGAGATGGGTGTGGGGCACCTCTGCCTTCACCGCCAGCGCCGCGCACTCCCAGCCTGTCGCTGCTGAGTCACCCTCGGCGCGCACTTTGTCCTTAGCAGAAGGATTTAGCGGCTCACGCTGTGAGGGTTTAGAGAGGCTTTGTTTTTAAGCTGCTGCTTATGAAAAGTGGGTTGCTTGCTCTGCTCTTTGAGCAACTGGCTTAAATAATGTTTCTTTTAGGAAGCCCAAGAGGCTTCCAGTGCTAAACATTACCAGCTGTTTAGTGGTAGTAAAACTTGGAGGAGGTCTCTTCAAAGTCACTCCTCTGTCTGCCTAACATTATGTTAATACCTGCAGGACAGTCTTATTAGTTTTGAGCTTCTGATGTGCCTTCTGGTAAACATCTGAAAAAAGTTCTGTCTGATATAAAACTAATAGACTGAGTGTCTTTCAAGCTGTCTGCAGTAAATACTACAAAATAAACAAAGCTGCTGTGTTTCTTATTCCTGCCTTCATGTTTTGTTCCCAAGCCTTCAAATGTGCCTATGTCCAAAATTTTGTTCCAGGTGCTCTCATGCATGAGTTGTCAAATGATGGTGCTCGTAAACAATTTGAATTTTATCTAGAAGAAATGATTCTCCCCTTAATGGTAGCCAGTGCCCAGAGTGGTGAGAGGGAGTGCCACATTGTTGTGCTGACAGATGATGATGTTGTTGACTGGGATGAAGAGTATCCTCCACAAATGGGAGAAGAGTATTCACAAAGTAAGTTTATTTTCATTGTCTTAGAAGTCATGCTTTTCATGAACAGTTGATTTGGATCTCTGCAGCTGTATGGGATTGACGGCCCCAGTCCTTTTGTGCAAGACGCTATAATCTAAATAGCAAAGGTGTCCTCCTTTTTCTGCTTCACAAGTGCTGTCTCTCTGGTACGATTTGCAGAGCTCTCTTATGTAATGGCAAGCAGACTGGAAAGATGCAGAAATTCCACCAAAAAGGGAAAAAAAATTGAGATCTCTTTTTTTGTGGAGGTGGGGTTGGAAGTATGTAATGTGGTTTGTTCTGTGAATTGTCCTATTGCATCCCAAAATTCAAAAAAACCCCAACCAACCCTAAATGTATACAAAGGACTAAACTGGCAAGGAAAAAGATGTGCAACCAACTCGTTGCACAGTGCCCTCAGCCTTTTTTCTCCAGAGTTCTTGTGTCTTTTCCCCTAGTCTGAAATATAAAGCAAAACAGTGGAAAAGAGAAACCTTTGTGTTCTAAGACATTTGAATAATTTTGCTTCTCATTAAAATTTATTTTTAGTCATTTACAGCACGAAGTTGTACAGATTCTTCAAATACATTGAAAATCGGGATGTGGCCAAATCAGTTCTGAAGGAACGGGGGCTCAAGAAGATCCGACTGGGCATTGAAGGTAAGAGAAGCATTGCTGGCACACTCACTCTTTGGAAAAGGTTCTCTTGTTGCACTTCTGTGCTTTGCAATCACCTCTGTAGTTAGAAAAATAGACTTGGTATTCTCTTTCATACTGAGGTTAGATGATAAAATGGCCAGAGGGGCAGCAGTACCAAATGGACCACTGGTCCAGCTAAAAAACCCAGTACAGACTCAGGACTGGCCTACAAGCCGTAACTCGCTGCTGGCTTGTTTGCAGAAGAACGTAGGTGGTTTTTACTGACTTGCATCTCCTGCCACATTTGCCCGTTAGTTTCCATGCAAAATCTTCTCTGTACTTTATTTGAAGTAATGACACTGTTCTCTCCTGATCTCGGCTTTCCGAGTTGCCGTGTTTTAGAAACAGCCGTCTGCTGGCTCGGGGAAGGAGCAACTAGTTTTGGCCATCAAGTTTGAAAGAGTTGTCTGCTGGCAATATATTCAGTATCGATAACACTGTAGCCTCTTCCTTACAGTGTGGTTGGTAGTTCAGCTGCTGCCTGTGCTTTCTCCTTGCATAGATAACGTTAATAACAGCGCGATGGCATCTGTTCCTTTTCAGGATGCTCATGGTGACAACTGCTCATTTTCCCCGTGCTTCCGCATGCTGCCTTTTTGTAAAAGAAAACAGTGCAGGACAGGTTAACTGCTGCTGTGCTCTCTTTCTTAGGTTACCCTACATACAAAGAGAAAGTGAAAAAGCGACCAGGTGGAAGGCCGGAGGTCATTTACAACTACGTCCAAAGACCCTTTATTCGGATGTCATGGGAGAAGGAGGAAGGGAAGAGCCGGCACGTTGACTTTCAGTGCGTGAAGAGCAAATCTATTACAAATTTAGCAGCGGCGGCGGCAGATATACCCCAGGACCAGCTTGTGGTAATGCATCCTACCCCCCAAGTAGATGAGCTGGATATCCTGCCCATTCATCCTCCACCTAGTAACAGTGAGATGGATACTGAGGGACAAAACCCACCCCTCTGATCTAGACTCTGACTGACAGAAACGCATGCTACTTTAAGTGACTCTGTACTCGACTCATACTACACTGCAATTCCGTTTTTCTCCATTGTGTAACGGTGTTTAGGATATTGCAGTATGGACCTTTGAAAGACCAAAGGGAGTACCTGGTTGTTTTTCTTTGAAAGAGTACAGATCAAACATCCTGGGGTTACAGTTGCATCCATGTATGTGTTTACCAGTAGGTTTGTGACATTGGTGATTTGTCTGCTGGACTGTCCTTGCTCTTAAGGCCATCAAAACCAGTGGGATGCTGGTGGCTAGTGTACATCAGTATTGTTACACAGGGGTTAGAATGCAGCATTGGAATTGATAGTAGCACTTTATAAATGGTTGATAAATGGAATTTGAAGCCATTTTTTTGTAAATGTATTGCACAATACTAACAAAGTGCTTCTATCAAAAGTATTAACTGTAAATAGTTTTGCTCTGACTAGATTGACCCTTTTAAAGTTATTGTATATGGCTGAGCACAAAACTGCTTACAATTGGGTTTTTGGATTGAGGATGTGATTCAATTACCCATGGAACATCTTGTTAAACTCGAAGTTCTTCAGTGAATTTTTTCACTTGTTTGCAGCGTGAGCCATGTTCAGAAATTGTGAACAATGGATAGGGGCTTTATCTTAAATTTTGCCTTACCTTAATTTGTTCACAAATATTTATTTAATACATTTTTCATAAGTGTCATGAAATAGGAAAATGCAAATGGTTCATTCTTCATTTATTAATGATTGTAAACAAGTTTTTCATGCAAATAAAGTTTCCATTATTTTAATGGGTTTGAATTATCTGTGACTGAGATTAAGTATATGGATGAATTTTGCATGTAGCTGCTTTTCTTTCCTCAGGGAAGGCTGGTTAGTATTAAGTGGGGAAAAAAAGTATTTTTAAAAAAGAAATCTAGTAACGTAAAACTACCGTAACTGTTGTGTTTTTCTTAGTATTGACTTGAATCTAGAAGTAATAATAGCTTCTCTAGGAATTCAGTGTAGTGACAAAATCGTGTAAGTGTACATAATGTGTTGTTTTTCCTCCCTTTTCCCAGAGGCTAAAGAAATGATAAATACCAACTGCTTCTAGCATGCACCTTCAGCAGGGTTTTAGCAAATTTATTTATCAAAGTAAATGCTCCATCTTAGAACAAGGGAAACATTTATTTTAAAAATATTTAACTGTCTAATACATTACACTTTAACAATATTTATAGTAAAGGATTCTTACAAGAAAGAATAAACAGCTTTATGGTACAATTAGTATAAGAAATATCCACATGGGGACTGTTTTGCAGTGTAAAAACACACCATACATCTGAAATGGTCATTTGCATATAAAAGCTACCACTGATGCCAGTGATTTAAAAAAAAATTTCAAACAACAGAATCCAAAATATACAAGTATTGCAAGCTATACACAGCTAACCAAATCAACACAGAACACTGTAGCAAGTTATTCCACTTTGTCTGAAGTTACACATGGTAGGATGAGTTGCATTCTGATACAGCTTTTATGAAATTGGTACATAAAAGCTTCTTAGTCCAACAAGTTTCACAGACTGTAGAACTCCACCAGTAAATGCACTTTGATATTTGGATGTTGAAGCCAGGTGCATCATTTACAAGGGCCATGGCAAATCACTGAAGTCTACAGGGCCACCGAGACCTGCATCTGCTTCAAGAAGGCTCATTATTACCGCCATCGCTGCTTCGTCATTGCTTGGGCTGCTTGATCCTTGATCGTTGTCAATCATATCAATGCCTATATGAGAGTTCTCCCCTGTAAGCATAAATACACCGTAAGTTATCAGAATTTCGGTTTTATTTTGTTTGCTTTACTTGCTGTGGGCATTTGTCCTATGACTTGAGGTAGGTTATCTGAACCGGCTCAGCTCTCTTCATCTGTGTGATACCCAGGTTCCTAGTTTCAGGGATACCTGATACTTGGGTGGCAGAGGACAAAGGTTAGGTCACTATGCCTAGTAAGGACAATATTATGCACTGTACTTCAAAAATAAGCCTAAATCAGCATCTAGGAGTCAGCCCGGCCTTTCTTCTTGTCCTCAGTTGTTTCAAAGCATTTACAAAAAGCACATGAGGAGTTCAGCTGATTCAGCAAGAGAAAAGAGGCTTCCAAGTATTGTCAAAAAAAAATTACAATATAAAGTAAGCTAGCAAAATAGACTGCTAGCAAAATAGGCTACTCTTTAGGCACACGGAGTGGTAGGTTATGGGCTTTATGGCTCAGCTATAGCCTGCAGATGGTGAAAGCAAGTTATTGCTAAAAAATGTTGATCTTGTTACAGTTGTCCATATGTGGTTAGTTGGTATTGAGGCATGTTAGTGTATGACTTTACTTACCAAGAATAGAGGAGTTGTCAGAATACGGGTAACCAGAGTTATCTTGGATTTGCCCAGACAGTAACCCAGCTGAAGAAATGTCTGGAGTGCCGCCATTCAAGATCTTGAAAGCAAAAACAGAAGCCATAAGCCACCATGAAATGTTGCATTAAGCCTTAAATTATGCTAGATTTTCAGTATAGGGAAGATGGGCTTCCTGAAAAAACATACCACAAAACCACCTGAAGGCTGGCTGATAAACTAGGAGCTACTTCCTCTCTATGATGCCTATCAGGCAGATGTCACATGGATAGTATGTCACCACCAGAAAGGAGGAGATTAGGTCAGTAGTGCATGCTAAGTTTTTGAAAGCAGCTTCTAAAAAAACTGCTCAAAAAAGTCCTCAGGAGTTCTATGGGTCATCTTCAAGTATTCCATCTGTACATGATAGTAATTGCAGCTAACTATAGAATGCTTTTAAATTTACAAATACGGGATACGTAAAGTACTGTCAACTAAGGTCCTTAATTTTAGGAATGCAATCCTCCCAGGTAGACACAGGCTGTGTGAGCTGAGCCTTGCTGCTGGATGATATGACCACTTTGGTGCAGAGCAGAACAGCAGTACTGCGGACACCAGAGCTCGCGAGAAACAGAATAACCTCCCCTGGGAATCGCTGAACGTGAACCATAGTTTTTAACTGCTCAGGTAAGTACTTGTGAGCTCTCTTCTGAGGGTAGCATCAGCTGGACCTTGTGACATTTCTAGCAAACAGTCTTCTGATTAAGGAGAAATACTGAGGGGGTACCCTGTGTGTATTTTCCTTTATTCCAGTTCAGTAGCCCCTACTATATGTAGGTGTAGAGCAGAAGGGGCAAGAATAACTATTCCTACAATTTTAGTTCTGTTTGTTCCAACTTAAATCTTCATTTATCTTCAATTTTTATTTATTTATTTATTTTCAATTATTATTTGTTTTTATTTCAATAACAGAGAGACCCAGGAATAGACAGAAATGTTTACTGTCAGCTATATGCTCCAGTACAGGCAATTCTTGTGTACAGTCATCACAGTTTCTGGGGGAAAAAAAAGTCTGAAGCAGTGTTTGTATGCACAGAGTAAGGATTTGGGTAAGTGCTCTTCTTGCCTTGAATATGACTACCAGAAGCAGCAATTTACTAGATGACATAAGTGCAGCCAGTACAAGTGTTCAGGTGGTTAAGTGTTGGTAATGGTATGGGAGTGCTACTCAGGCAATCGTAGAACAAGGCACGGTATGTGGTATTGAGGTACAAATACACCGTCAGTGCGCAGCAAAGCATCCGATCGTGGCGTTTAGTGCAGTAAAACTTGTCATTCATTTGAGCAGCGCTCAAACAATAGCACTTCCAGTGTTCACCAGTATGTGGTGGTAAAGAGGTTTTGTTTTTTGAGATCAATAGAGACTATGAGAGCTGTTTCTTGCAGCTCTGTTAGAAAAAAGTGAAGAACTAAAGAGCAGATGGATTTCAAAAGATGCCAGTGCTTCAGAACTACTGGTCTCTGCACTTCAGGGACTACTGTAAAAGGATTTTGGCCACCAGAATACTTGGACTTGCTGTCAGAATTTTTCAGCCAAGCAGCCAGTTCAACATCACATGTAACTTTATAAGCATGATCTCATGTTGCTTGCCACTACCACTATGAGACTTTTTGGAAAGCTTCTTACCTTCTTGCCTCCTGGGGAGGATGTGTCGGGTGGTGGTGTGCTGGTGATGTTCAGTGGGCTTGAACCACAGCTGGAAGGTGATGATCCTCGTATCCTGAGGTATGGGTAAATCAGGGAATGAATTTACAAGCAACTTTGAGACTCAGCAGCCAGAGACTTGGAGCTTCAAATACTGACTTTAGTATCAGGTGGCATAAGGTGTTAAAAGCAAGATTATTTCTGCAATTTCCTCACTTTTTCAGCATTACTCAAATCAACAGTAGCAACGTTTTTATTAGCAGCTCAGTAAGCACATGTGTGTCAGTTACCCACCTTGCTTGGTCTGCAGGTTCTACCTACTGCTCCCCTTTACTTGTTCCTGTACAGCCTTCACAGAGTTAGAAGGAAAATATCCTTGGGTACTGAGAAAAGCCTCTTTTTTTTTAAAAAAAAAATTGTACATCAATTTAGACCAGCTAAGAATTTAAGCTGCCTCAGTCACAGTAGCTGAGGCTCCATAACTGAGCTACTGCTACAGCAGTACGCTGGGCATTTGATGCAGTTCATACTACTTTTTTAACTGTCTGAAGCAGCATTTTGCAATTCAATTTTCCATAGCTGATATATAATTTTTTTATTAATGAGAGCCAACAAATTTCTAGACTAAAGGGAGGAGTGGTAGTTACAGAGAAAAAGCAATGGAAATGGGAATCTTATCCTTGGCAGAGTTCCCTTGGGAAAGCTGAACAGAAGGCAGCTTTGGAAAATAGTAACAGCTGCTGAAAAAGGACTGGAACTAACCCAGGGTCTTGAAATGAAATGAAAACATGTGTGGCAAGCTATACTACTACACTGACGGAGGCTAATTATGTGTTTTGCAGCTATTAAAAGGGATAGTTAAGTTTCAAAGTACTGGTTCAGCTTTGGTGTGGGTTTTTTTCTTGTTTTTTACTCTCCTTCCTACTCTTACAGATGGGTCAGAAGCCTTATGTGACAGGTCTGTCCCCTTAATGATGTGAGTAGTCTGTGGCCTGCCGCAGAAACAGAACTGGGAAAAAGACTGAATGTCTTCCTGAACTGCAGCTCAGTGTGGTTAAACTACCGCCACTAAACATCTGCTGGATGAGACCACGTTTATAGGACAAGGACTACTCTGCAGAAGGAACTTAATGAAGTACAGGGATCCTTAGCCAGTGGAAATTAAGTGATACCCACTGAAAGCAGTTGCTCACAGAGGTGAGAGAGATGAGACGGCCGTTCTGAGGAGCCGCTCTGTGTCGCTACAGTCCCTGGCTGAAGGGTGTTAAAAGACTTTTTGTTTAAACCAGAGACCTACATCTTGGCTTTCAGAGAGATGGCCCCCGGGAAGGCCGAGCTAGCTTAACCACTGTGTCCTTGCTCAAAGAGCTGTGGGAGAACTGCAAAATCTGAACTTACATAGCAAACAACTCTAAAAGCATCTGAGCAAAGTGGATCACATGAAAACAAACGTTGCTTTTTTGGCACACAGTCAATAGCTTTGGCATTTGGAGGTTGTGCCACTTACACCCTGAAGTCACTGGAAAAAGAGTACTCTGGAATGGAATTTGTTTCTAGGTAGCTGTTCTTCTGAACTACTGTTTCTGGTAAACAGATAATTATCGCTGTTACAAAAAAACCCCCAATATTAGTCTTTTACAGTAGAAAGCTGGAAGGCTGTAACTTCATTCTTTCACTGTGGACTTTGACTGCCTCAAGTATTCTGAATAGGTGCCTGTG